GTTCCATGAAAAGATGCAGGGTGAAAATGAGGCATTTGAACAGTTTATTACAGAACTGAAACTGCTTGCTAAAGACTGTGGGTACCCAAATACAGATGAAATGGTCAGAGATCGCCACACATTACATAAGAAGAGGAATAGTTTCCCAGGTTAAAATGCCCAAGAAGATCAGTTTTAAATCTCTCTCCTCATCGATGGCCGAGCCCGAGTTCTTGATGACAGACTTTGCCAAGATGGAGTTTCAAGGACAGCTGCACCTAGGCTTCCAGGCTATCCATGCCTTCCAGAAACATGGCCATCTTCACTCAAATACAACAAACCAGGAAATATAACATGTTGATCTATGTTTGCATCAGCCACTAGATGGTGTTGCCATCTAGTGGCTGGACCCCAGACCCCTCAACAAGGCCATACAAAGACCCCATTACCCTCTACCCACCTTGGAGGATGTCACCACAAAACTTCCTGGGGCCAAGTATTTTAGTGTTTTGGATGCCAGATCAGGCTACTGGGCCATTAAACTAAGCCACGAATCATCTCTGTTAACCACATTTAATACTGTGTTTGGCAGGTACCGCTTCACCAGGCTGCCATTCGGGATACTCTCAGCCCAGGAAGAGTTCCAGTGACGCGTGGATGAGCCCTACGAAGGCCTGAGGGGCGTGGCAGCCATTGTGGACGACGTGTTGGTCTTCGGAGGAACCAAACAGGAGCATGATGACAACATGAGGACCATGCAGCAGGGAGAGAAGTGTAAAACTGAACCCTGACAAGTGCACCATCTGCGTCAAAGAGGTCAGTTACTTCGGTCACACATTGTCACACGAAGGACTAAAACCAGAGCCACAAAAAGTAAAAACAGTCCAAAACATGGCGCCCCCGCAGAACAGGGGAGAACAGGAAACAGTGCTGGGGATGGTTAATTATTTAGCAAGATTTGCCCCACACCTGTCAGAGATAAACGCGCCGCTCCGCCAGCTGTTAAACCAGGACAGTGAGTTTGTATGGGAAAAGAACCATGACAGATCCTTTCAACAAATGAAGGAGCTGATCACTAGAGAACCAGGCTCAGTTCTCTCCTTCTTCAACCCCAAGAACGCGCTACGACTCCAGGTCAATGCACCCAAAAGTGGCCTCGATGCTGTGATGCTGCAGGACGGCAAGCCAGTCGCCTACACATCCAAGCCACTTAACAGCACTGAGCAGAACTATGCCCAAATAGAAAAGGAACTGTATGCTGTTCTCTTTGGCTGCAAGCGGTTCCACAAGTAAATGTACGGTCAACATGTGACCATTGAATCGGACCAAAAGCCACTAGAGTACTCAAAAAGCCACTAGTATCAGCACCACCACGGCTACAGAGGATGATACTACAGCTGCAAAAGTATAACATCAGCATCATCCACAAGCCAGGGAAAGACATCCCGGTAGCCGACACGCTCTCCCGGAAATCCATAGAGTTCTACGATAAATCACTATGTGACGGAATGGATGTGCAGATCCACACAGTCCTCAGCAACATGCCTGTCACTGATCAGATAAGAAACAAAACAGGCCAGGACCCTCAGCTTAACACTCTGAGAAGGACCACATTGGGTGGATGGCCGGTTAAAAGGTCTCAATGTCCGCCTGACATCCGGGAGTTTTGGAACCACAGGGATGAGATCTCACTGATATATGGGATCATGTTTAAAGGAGAGAAAATGATCCCAAAAAGGTTCAGAAAGGACATGATAGATCGGATTCACTTCAGCCGTATGGGCATAGAAAAGAGTAAAAACAGAGCCAGAGACCTTCTGTTTTGGCCAAGCATGGGAAAGCAGATTGAGGAAGCAGTTGGAGCCTGCAGCACATGCCAGGAAAGACAAACTGCTAACCCCAAGGAACCCCTGCTGTCAAATGCAATACCAGAAAGACTGTGGCAGGTTATAGCAACTAATCTGTTTACTTGGAACTTGGAAGACTACATCATCATCGTAGATTACTATAGTAGGTTCTTCGAGTTGGAAAGACTGTACAGCTGCACTGCAGAAGCAGTGATCCGCAAACTAAAGTCAGCCATGGCCAGGCATGATATTCCAGAGTCAGTGATTAGTGACAACGGCCCGTGCTATGCTTCAAGTAATTTCCAACAGTTCGCAAAGTCATGGAGTTTCACCCACAACACTACTAGCCCCCATTACCCACAGAGCAACGGCCTAGCCAAAAAGACTGTCCAGACAGCAAAA